ACTTATTAATTTTGGGCGACTGTCTGCGACAGTGTTCGCCGTGATACGTCGGTGCTCATTACGCCCTTTATCTTAAATGTTTAAATATTATACAATTACGTAACAGATATAGAAAGATAGTAGGGTCGAGAAGAAAAATTTTAAGCTGATTTCTGTGGAAATGTGTAAATTTTAATCTGGGAATTTACCAAAACTTACCATTCACTTCGCTTTTAATATATAGCTTTCTGGAACCCCGAGAAAAATTATGAGTAACCGTGCACTTTCTAGTACACTTTCTACAAATACTATTATAAGCCTTGCTTGCTTTTTGAAAATAATCAAAATTAATCAATTTACTCAAATTCTCAACAGCATCGTTTCAGTTACTAACAAAATATAATAGTTTCAACACTTCTAATCCCTGTAATTGTTATAAAGCATGCACAAGCCCTGCTACGCTTTGTGCTGATTGAAATGTTTTTGAAACATAAATAGGACCTTCTGTGGAATACGGGTAAATAAAATTGAAGTTTTTTTGGTAAAAACAATGTATTTTAAGAAAATAGTGCTTTACTATCTTTAATGCGCTATTTCTGTCAACACTAACATATCAATACAGCATCGTTTCAGTTACTAACAAAATATAATAGTTTCAACGCCTCTAATCCCTAAAATTGTTATAAAGCATGCACAAGCCCTGCTACGCTTTGTGCTGATTGAAATATTTTTAAAACATAAATAGGACCTTCTGTGGAATACGGGTAAATAAAATTGTAGTTTTTTTTTTGAATNTTTACCATTCACTGTATTCATCTTAGATTCGTTTCGCTTTTAATATATAGCTTTCTGGAGCCCCGAGAAAAATTATGAGTAACCGTGCACTTTCTAGTACACTTTCTACAAATACTATTATAAGCCTTGCTTGCTTTTTGAAAATAATCAAAATTAATCAATTTACTCAAATTCTCAACAGCATCGTTTCAGTTACTAACAAAATATAATAGTTTCAACACTTCTAATCCCTGTAATTGTTATAAAGCATGCACAAGCCCTGCTACGCTTTGTGCTGATTGAAATGTTTTTGAAACATAAATAGGACCTTCTGTGGAATACGGGTAAATAAAATTGAAGTTTTTTTGGTAAAAACAATGTATTTTAAGAAAATAGTGCTTTACTATCTTTAATGCGCTATTTCTGTCAACACTAACATATCAATACAGCATCGTTTCAGTTACTAACAAAATATAATAGTTTCAACGCTTCTAATCCCTAAAATTGCTATAAAATATGCACAAGCCCTGCTACGTTTTGCGCTGATTGAAATATTTTTGAAACATGAATAGGACCTTCTGTGGAATACGGGTAAATGAAATTTTAGTTTTTTTGAGGAAAACAATGTATTTTAAGAAAACAGTGCTTTACTATCATTAAAGCACTATTTCTGGCAAAATTAACATATCAATACTATATAATTTATTCCAACTCTGAAAGCGTTCACAATTAAGTACTTAAATGATTTACAACACAAAAAGTCAAATAACTTCAATAAGGATTTTTGAATCAATCAAAAAATAATATAATTACTGGCTGATAAAAAATGATTGAATAAAAAACTTGCTTTCTAAAATACTTAACCCAATGCTAAACTCATAAAATTAAAGTTTTTTTAAACATCACTAGATGACTTAAAATGGCTAAAAAATTATTATTTAAATTACAATAAAAAGCCCTAAAATTAATTATAATAAAACATTCAATAAAAAATAATGAAAACACAATTTTCATTTCAAATCTAATTCTTCCCGAAAAGTGGTGAAAATAAAGACTAGAAGTTATATTTATTTTAATTTTTTATTTTAATTACATTACCGATCTCTTTATAACTATTATTTGAAAAGAAAACATTTATCCTTAATTACTAATTCAATATCAAAAACATTTAATTAGTTTAATGTTTATATTCATAAAAAGATTTAAATTTATAAAAAGTAATATACTTAAATGACATACTAACAAAAAATATGAAAGAATTATTATAATTAAACAAAAAAGAAATTAATTGTTCTTCAAAAATTTAAAAGGCGTTTTATAATTTTAAGATTTTTTTTTAAATTTAAAAACAAATTAATTTATTATCCAACAATAAAGCTGTGTATTTAAATTTATTAAAAAGGATATTTTTTTAAATTTCTCTCAATGCAAAATAAATATTTAAATACTTGTTGCACGTTTTTTCAATAATTTTACTAAATAAATGCATTTAAATAAAATTAAAAAATGAGAATAGTAAATTACTATAAATTTAAACGAAAAAATTTATATTATAAAACAAATTTAATATCTATCGTGATATACAAGCATAATAAAAGCTTTAAAAAATTATTTATTTTCTAGTTTCTTTTGTAAAGCATTATTTTTGTATGCACATCCATTTCATTAAATTAAAATGAATGAATAAATTTAGTTTTCAAAAATTGAATGGATTTATTTGGTTTTTCTCATAACAATGTTGAGATTTATTTTTAAAGTAAAACAAAACAATACATATTTTTTCGTAAGGCAAACTGTATTAAAGAGTATATTTATACAAAAATGAGCTAGTTTATTTAAAAAGAAACGTCGTTGATCCTTGTGCAATATCAAAGAACGTATTTATTAATATAATACGTATTGCACTTTGTAGAACTCTTTTTCAAACAAAAGGTACGTAAACATCACCGATCGATCAAGATAACATTTGTTTTTGAAAATTTCATTATTGACAAATTGAAAGTTTAGTTATTGACAAAATAAATAATATTTGTTCACTGTAAAAATATTTATAGCATCAGGAGGAAATATAGATCAATGAATTTAATTTTTGGCTACAATGTTACAAGATTCATTCTATTCGAAGCTCTTTTATAATGATCTAATTATTTGATCACCGTTGAGGAACAACGAATCAATGACGTTAACCTCCGTAATTTTATAATTTTGATTTCAACTCAAAAAGCAACGGATATTTCCAATCAAACTCCGGAAAATACGCTTTTATCTAAAAAAACATTTCCCAGAGTAAGCCTAGACTGTTCCTCAATGCTGAGGAACAATGAATTAATGACGCTGACCTCCTTAATTTTATCGTTTTGATTTCAACTCAAAAAGCGACGGATATTTAAGTCAAATCTCAGGAAGATACGCTTTTACTAAAAAAAATTTGCAGACTAAACCGTAATTGCTTTTCATGTATATGATGAAAAACAATGAAGATAGCCTGGCAATCAAAAATCAGTTACATCTATCCATAAATCTATCTATCAGTTAATCTATCTATTCGTTAATCTAATCCATCAGTAACACCTATCCGCACTTATCCGATATCTGATAAGCACTGGCTTTGCCATCCGGTGATAGGTGAAACCAGTAGTGAAATTTAACATTCATTTCCAGATTTTGATCCTGGTTTACCAGTAACAAAGGCAGGGGTCTGTCCAGACATTTTGTGAAAGGTCCGTTTTTAGTGAAATTGTGAAAAAATTACACACATTCTTTCAATCAGGGTCCGCTTTTATGAATTTGTGCAAATAGGGTCCGTTATTGCGAAAAAAAAACTTTTTCAAGGAGTTTTTAAATTGTAAAGACATACAAGATTATGCTCAACACTGTAAAATTATAATTAAAAAAATTAAATTTTAAAAACTAAACAACATTTTCTGCTTTAAAATTAGAGATGCAACATACAAATATTTGGTATTTAGCCTATAGAATGCAGAATATTCATTTCGGACGAATAATGGAAGAATCGTCTGCCGAAGACAAAACTTAATTCGTTTACATCCATCTTTCTTGTTTTTTGCCCTGGAAAGAGTTTATTCGATTAACAAAATAATAATGAAGATAAACAAATTTGTGAAGGGTCCGATTAAAAAAAAATCATTTTGCGAAGTTTCCGTTTTTAAGTTAAAATATTTTGTGAAGGGTCCGTTTTTATGAAAAGATATTTTGTGAAGGGTCCGTTAACGGACCCAAATTTCTTCTAAACAGATCCCTGAAAGGTATGAGTTATTCGAAGCCTTTTATGGTCAATTTTAATTACCTTTTAAAGTTAGTACTATTTCGACGGAAAACCTACAAATATTATGATACAACATAACATTGAAGATATAATTTCATCTTAATGGACATTTAATTCATTTGCTTAACGTAATTATCTCTCATTATACCTAAAAATGAGTGGAATGATAACGAAGCAAAGTTTTAATATGTATGAATTTAAATAGTTTGATCGCTGAAAATGAAAATGTATCATACCAAACATCTATTAAAATTAATAATTTGCAAAATCTAATGGACTTCAAATGTCAGCAAACACTTTGGCTCTCAGAAATACAAATAAAGCAGGGTAAAATATAAATATTTTCAAAGATTTGAAGAAAAATTATTAAAATTTTTCTTGGAAAAATATTTAAGATTTTAACAAAAGGAAAATAAAAAGCCGGAAAAACAACACAAGTAGAAGATATCTCACCACCAGCTCATGCCATTACATCCGCAAAATTAAGTTCCTTCCAAGAGTGCAAAAATATATCAATACAATAGTTTGAGATTAGTTGTTTTGACTATATTTTTACAATATTAGAAAGCACTCTTGTTTTCTGATATAATCGTGTGAGCTGATGACGCCATTATATCTTTGCCTTTCGTTGTTTTGTTACCTTTTTAATTTTTTCTTTTTTTTCTGTGGGGAGGGGGTCATTAAAATTCATTCAGACAATACTATGCTTCGAGACCAAGGAAAACAGTTTCAGAAACGAACACTTTAATCCCCGGATCACCCCATAACTATCACTTCTCCTAAGAGGACTACTCTTCCTATATTTTTGGAGAATACTTAAATAGAATTTGTTCAATAAATTACTTTAATTATAAAATTAAAAATAATGCGTATTTATCGAACCTTTTTTCTACAAATGGATTGGGAAACAATTGTTCAATTTTTACTTTAAAAAAAAGTAACTTAGAATTAAAATACATACCATTCGGTCTTTGGCGGTGGAAAACATGTACATCCAATAAAATTTCTAATCCTTGAAATATTATTTTTCTATCTTTTCCAGACACTTTATTTGCGCTCTGAATATTATGTTCAGTCCAATCTGTCCAATAAATGGAATCTCCATACAAGGCTAAACCAAAAGGATGAGGCAAAGCCAGGCTAATAAGAACCTGAAATTATAAATAACCTTTAGAAAAATAACTGAAAAATCTTAAAGAAAAAATAAACCTATGGAATGTTATTAGGTTCTAAAAAATGCGAGGCTAGTGACCCAAATATGGGTACTACACCTAATGTAGGCAATGCAAGAGGAAATGTTTAATTCGTAATTTTGAATGCAGGATGAAGTTATCAGAATGCAAGCTTAAGGCAATGCAAATAAGGTGAATGAGTGATAAGTCTTCCGTTTTTTAAATTTCAATCAGATATAGCAAAACTATGAAGGGATATTGCACGTAGCAAAAAATTATTCTTATTAATTTGATACATAATCACGTAATATTTAATTTAAAGAGATCTTAATTTAATCTTTAATCCATATTGAGAGAATTAAGTAAGCTCTGTATTTTTCAAATAGTCTTATCGTGGATTTTGAACTTTTGTCTTAAGTTAAGTGAAAATGGTCATCGGCTTGACAGTGGGTGTTGAAAGAAGTCTTAATATGGTAACTGTCCCTAATATGGCCTCATCTTTGCTTTGTAATCAATTGACTTGTTTATTTTATTAATTATTAAATTTTATCAGTTATTACTTTTATTAATTATTAATTTTATTAATTATTAATTTTATTAATTATTAATTTTATTAATTAGTAATTTTATTAGCTATTATTTTTAATTATCAATTTATTACTTTTATTCCTAATTAGGGCACGGTCCATTGTTGTAACTTCTGGTGTTTTTAACTCATCTCGAATTTTTCACATTTTTATCTGCTGAATCCAAAATTAAAAGGCCCCAAACGGGACTACAATAAAAAATTAATTAAAGGGTCCACTTTGATATTTTTATCTTATAAAAAGGTTGATAAGTAAGAAAATTTTTTTTTACTACATGCAATATTCATATGTCTTATTGAAAATTACAAAATCGGAAGATATACCAATGCCTACATCCTGAATCAATTATGAACTAAATAATTTTATAGCTTTATCTTGGTGAAGCTTGAATTAGTTTTCGTTAAAATAATAATCAATTTAATTTGTTTTTCAAGTTATGATTAAACATTTTAATGACTAGATAATTGTATTTATTCCATTCTCAGTATTTTAAAGCAATCAAAATATAATCAGTTCAAGCATTAATTTCATTTTTAGTATTCTTTACTTCAACAATTTTAGAAAGCTCTAATTAAAAAACAGGAACAACAAGATGAATCGAAAATAATTCTCGGAATATTTTGTTTTTATACAATGTCATTTTTGAGAAAACTTTAATTCAATTTGTGAAACAAAAAGTACACAAATGAAATAAAAAATATATAGGAAACGAAGCTAAAAGTTTCATAATTAATTTTACTGATTATTAAGCACAATTTCTTATAAATAAGTTGCAAATTTTAAGTCTACAAATCAATTAAAAAATGCGCTACTCTTTCATTTTTAAACAAATTGTTTAATAATCTAATAATCGAATATATTAAATAAAATGAACTTAACTTATAAAACCCAAGCTAATTGAGTAGATCTCTCCGAGCCAATACGGATTCAGGATTGTTATTGTAATATCTCAAAATAAAAATTAAGTGCTACAGATTATTATTAGATTTCATTAGACGAATGCGAAAAGTAATCTTGTACTAGTTATGGGCTACAATAATACTTAATTTCCTTTGTTTTGTCTCATACACCTTTCAAGTTATTTCCTTTTTGGAAAATTTAATATCAAGATAATTGTGTTTCGTTCCAAGAATTTTAAAGCAATCAAAAGGCAATCAGTTCAAGAATTTATTTCATTTATTGCATTTTCTTTATTTACAAGCATTTATAAAGCTCTAATTAAGATCGCAGAAAAGCGTGATGCATTGATTCCGATCTGTATTTATTTCCTTTTTATTCCGTATAAATTCTTTAATTGCATCAACTTTCCTTTCATATTGTTAACCAGATATTTATTTTATCTCTATGCTCTAATTTTAATGCAATAAAGATGAATTAAATTTATATTCTTGACATTTTATGTGATGTTTCTAAATCTAGTATTAAAGCAATATTTTGTGTTTAATGCTTTTAAAACCAATTTACTAAAATATATTGTGATTATCTGTAAACTTTCATTCGATTTTGCGTTTTTGAATGCAATTTTTGCGAAAAGTTATAGCGTAACAGTCTTTTTTTTATGAAATATATTTGCTTCTTTAATTATTTTATTGAAAAGCATTTGTAATTGCTTTATTTAGAGAGCTCGCTCATTAAATGCTCAAACAGTAAAAGTAATTGGAAAACATCACTCGTCGAATCGATTAACTCCATAAACAAATTATAAATAATAATCTATATAAATAAATAAACATTCTAAAATAAATGATTTGTAATTCAATGGCTAAAATTATTCTCATATTGGGATTTTAATACTGTTGTTTATATTTATTGAAGGAAAAACTTGTTTCAAATATATGCAATTAAAAATATATAAAATGCTTTAAGATATTTTTTTTATATCAAAAAGTTTGGAATAATTATAAGTGAAAGTGAAATATCAAAGTCCCACAACGTAGAACGCAAATTTTCTAAATCGTTATCAAGATTATTCATTATTATTTCTGAAACATATACTAAACAACGCAAAAACTTTTCAAAAGTTTCAAAGTATATACTACTTATTGCTATTGTTTGATTTATTGATTTATCGTTTGATTTATTGCGTTTTTATTTATTAAAGTTCGAACTATTTCAACAAAATGATCAAACAATTTTATATCAAACAATCAAACAAAGTTATGTAAATAATCAAATTTGAAATATAAATTAATGTTCAGTTCAAATGTATAATAATGTGTAGCAGAAAGATTTTTTTTATTCGTGATACACATTAATAAATATCGAATTTATCTTTGAATAAGACCTGTTACTTAATATAAACATTTATTTAATCAAATTGAAACTTATTATAAACATCCGTTTGAGCAAAACTGATATTTATTATATTTATTAGTTGAATGAAACAGATGCTTTATATAATCATTTATTTGAACTAAACTGATACTTATTTATTGATAATGCTGCAAACAATTTTAGGAGAGCATACTATGCCTCAGTTATGATTTTATTTTTTGGATAATAAAAAAAATTGAGAATTATATATGGGGTCAGTAATTTCTAAGCTGTTCTGTAAGGAAGTATGTCCATTCCATAATATGGAATAAACATGGAATCAATATTCGTTTTAAATCAGATTTATACAGACTAATATTTCAATCCCTTTAGATGGCATTATCGAATCGAAAGCCTAGGCCATCTGCAGTATGTCACCACATTGCGAGAATATTATGCTAGGTGGAAACATTATTGGCTTTGCCAGCAAAATCATTATCTCTTAAAGATTTAAGTTCATTACGAAGCATTCACGAACCAATCACATACATCAAAACGGCTGTTTAATGTTTAGAATATTTGGTTTATCATATTGACAGTTTATGTGAACCAGTCAAATATGCATTGATACGATAACCCTGCCTATTTTAAAACGATTGTTTTGTCCTATAGCTTAACATTAATCTATAGTAAATTATCGAAATGAGTGGAAGTTAGGATATTTATATTAACTTACTATATAGGTACTTTAGTACTTTCTACGAGCCAGTCATAAACGCATTGATTTGATAACTCTAAATATTTTAGAAAGTGCTTTGCCTTTAACTTAACATTAATGAATAGTAGATTATCGAAATGAATGAAAGTTGGGATATTTATATTAATTCATTATATAGGCACTTTCTTTGAGCCAGTCACATACGCATTGATTTGATAACTCTAAATAATTTAAAAAGTGTTTTGTCTTGTAACTTAACATTAATGAATAGTAGATTATCGAAATGAATGGAAGTTGGGATATTTGTATTAATTATTATATAGGCACTTTCTTTGAGCCAGTCATATACGCATTGATTTGATAACTCTAAATATTTTAAGAAGTGTTTTGCCTTGTAACTTAACATTAATGAATAGTAGATTATCGAAATGAATGGAAGTTGGGATATTTATATTAATTCATTATATAGGCACTTTCTTTGAGCCAGTCACATACGCATTGATTTGATAACTCTAAATATTTTAAGAAGTGTTTTGTCTTGTAACTTAACATTAATGAATAGTAGATTATCGAAATGAATGGAAGTTGGGATATTTGTATTAATTATTATATAGGCACTTTCTTTGAGCCAGTCATATACGCATTGATTTGATAACTCTAAATATTTTAAGAAGTGTTTTGCCTTGTAACTTAACATTAATGAATAGTAGATTATCGAAATGAATGGAAGTTGGGATATTTATATTAACTTATTATATAGGCACTTTCCTTGAGCCAGTCAAATATATATTGATTTGATAACTCTAAATATTTCAAAACGATTGTTTGGTTGTGTAATGTAAAATTAATTCATAGTTTGTCAGAATAAAACAAAAAGAATACTTTAGCTTATTATATAGGCAGTTTTCAATTCCTGTGGAATATATTTTTATTTGATAAATGTATATATATTAAAAGATTTATTTTGACTTGTTTAGCACGATTCTTAACACGAATCAATAGTAAACTATGAGGATGAATAAAATTACGAAAGCGCAACTAACAAAACTATTAAATTCAAAGTTGTATGCAAAAACTTTTTTTTAATGAAGATCTGGCAATTAATTAACTTTTATTTCTTACGTGTGTATGCACATTTCGTTATTTGAATTATTCAGAATTGTATAGTTCCCACAAATATTTTCGCATACTTCGTACTTCTAAGCAAGCACTCATAGAAAGTGCAACAATGCAATATATTTTTTTCTATTATCTAAAAGCGCACTGCTTGCATTTTCAAACGTTATTTTCAAGTAAAAACACTTTGATAAACCGATGTACGGTTGAGTTTTAAGCCTCTGTTTCAAACGTATGCATTCAAACAGTTTCTTCGTCTAAATTTTCAAAATAAATTATTTTTATTCTTTATGTAATTCAATATAATTCATAAATCTGATAATTTTCTATTCATACTATTTTATAGCTGGCACACATATCAAATGATTATGTTTCAATATAAAACATTATTGCAATAATTTTAGACTTAAAATTTGTTGTGTTATAAAATTTGGAAATTATTCAATGAATTTGATCTCATTATAAAAAGTTAGAATTATGACACCTAAGCTTTTGTTTTATTTCACACATTTATTCCTATAAAACGCTGAATAATAATCAAAGACAGCACCGATATACCAACTAATGGTTATATAAATAGGACAATAAAGTACATGAATTTCCTTTTTAGCCCAAATTTACTCGTTCTTTTATTTACATTAAACTAAAAAAACGTGAGGTTTTTCAACGTAAGCCTCTCAAATGTTCCACTTCTTTTTACTTAACTGAACTTAACAGTATCATTTTCGAAAAAAAATTGTTAAAAAGAGATACGGGTCTGCAAATTGGTCACTTCNAGTTTTAGAAATTTTATCTTAAGATTTTATACTATAGCACATTTCTAATAGGTTTAACGAATTACATGTCATTTATTTGAATTCAAATTTATTTTAATGACTTAGTATTTACTAAAAAGATGTATTTTTTTTAAAAAAAGTTGTTATATGGATTTGAATGATTGTTTTGAATTCTTAGAATTTTGTACATTTGCAATGTACGTAAGTTAGTAGCGAGCGAAGCGAGCTTGGTTTGCGAAGCAAACCATATTAGATTGCGTAGCAATTTTCGGGGGTTGGAGAGCGTTAGCGAGCAGGGGGCGCAGCCCACTAGTAAATTTATAATAAACGTAGTAAATTTGTGATACAGGAATTAAGTTTAAAAGACTCACTTTATCCTTTGGATTTCGGAAAACGGAGACATGATCTGATATGTTCCATTTGTTATGTACCTAACCCACCTGATCACTATTAAGTACGGGACTTTGCCCAGCAATGATTATGTTTAAATAGAAAAGGAAAAAGAAGTGCGCAATATCCCGTTTACAATGATTTAAAATATGTTAAAAGTACCTATGTATACGACTTGAAATAAGAAATTGAAAACGATTTAATTCGAATTTTCTCCTTCCGATACGTTATAGAAAGATTGCGTGTGTACTGGAAACGTAGTACCAGAGAGACACTAAAGAGCATTTTAAGACTTGATATAAAAGAAGTTTCAGATCTTGATGAAGTTATTTCTTTGTTTAAAATAACCAGCGCATTTATGTATACAGTTAACATATACTTAAAGTAGTCACAACTAAAGCAATTTTTATGTATATTCAACTATTTCATGTTTTATTTTATAACTGTCGTTGAACAGACGACCCATTTTTGAGTTTAAAACTAACGATGTTCGATGTAGTCTTGTAATTTTTTACCCAATCCAGAAGACAAGTGAATTCCTGTATCACGTATTAGTAGAAATTAGCCTTTGAGGAAGGATCTTTTGATGGAACTAACCCACTTTTGTGTTACCTGAACAGAAGAAAAAAAAACGAAAATCTCAAACAGTTAGCCTGACGACAAGGGGATTCTAATCCATAATCCATCTACCACTGAGGATATTTTATGTCAGCAATGTGGTCGGTGTGAACAGGGTGGGGAACTTGTATCTACCAGTCGTGATTCGAAACTGAGTCAAATGCTCTATTCCCTGAGCCATTAATATTCAACTATTATAGAAATTTCAGAAAATCCATACTATATTGGGTTTTTTTTCGTAAAAAATGATATTCTATATGTTTCTAATATGGTCAGGATCCACGCGGCTGACAAAACCTCTCCACACCACTTCGTGTTAGGCTACGCTAACTGCTTGTTTCTTCGCAGCAAAATCTATGGCAGAAAGTTTCGATCATGCTTCCGAAACATTCTTAATTTTTAAAAAAACTTTGCACTGAATTTTGATAATTGTTATAAGTACATTTTTGACATTTTATTAACATAAAGAAAAGATTTAAACATATTTTGCGCAAAAGATGCTAATAAAAACATTTCTGTGACTTTTTGAATTATTAAAATTTAAATAGAATGAACCTTTCGTTACATTCTTGCTATTATTTGTGCAGCAGGTGTCATGACAAATATGAACTCTTTTCAGTTTTGGTTTTTCATTGGATGGTTCATTTTGGGTTTTTATGAATTTCGTACAACCATATAGCGTTCTTTCTTGATGTGTATAAATTAGATTCATGTACATATATAGTGTGTGCACGGTTCTATGATAAATGATTTTAATATAGTAATAATAATAAAAATGCAAGAAATGGTTCGAAATCAAAACTGTATGCAATCCTACGAAATTTATTATATATATTTTTTTTTATTTTAGTATTTAATTATGTTGGTTAAATTTTATTAAATTAACTCGTTTATTTTTCACGAGTGAAATAACTAATATGGTGTCTCTTAATTTAATCCATTTATCACCAAAGCTCTTGCCTTATCTCGTGTATATTTTTCTAAAAGATAAAAACTGTTATTCCAGTTTTCTAAATTTGTTTCCGTAAAACAAAGACATTCGCGACACCAAAACATTAGTATTTATCACAAATTATAAATTTGTGATATTTTTTTTAAAATTGTTAAGTAGTAATAAACTGTATTTTTTATAAATGCATTCTTAACATATGCAACTGTTAGACACGAAGATAAAAAGAAGAATGAAATCCAATTTTTGAAAACTTCAATTTTTATTCGAACATGAATTTTAAAAAATTTAATTAAATTTATTTAAATTTTTAAAAATTTATTTAGTTTATTTTTTAAATACGACGAGAGGGATCTTACTTGTCTATTTCTGCCATCATAATCAACCATTTCTATTGTCCTCGTTCCAGCGTCTGTCCAATACAGTTTTTTTCTCTCCTGGTCTATAGCAAGGCAATTCGGCCAAGTAAGATTTCGGTCAATGACCACTGTCCTCTGTGATCCATCCATCCCAGAACGTTCGATTTTCGGATAATCGCCCCAGTCGGTCCAGTACATAAATCTACAGTATGGAAAGAAAGGCGGATCAAATGACGGTGACATTGGTCCAATATTGGCGAGATAAGGGAGGACACTAAAAGAAGATTAATGTGACGGAGGAACAATTTATAGATTAGAGGCAATGTGTCTTACAAAGCTGTTATTGAACTAAAGTTACCGAGTATATTGTCTCATTTTCATGGTCCTGCTTTTTACTTATTCTTGTTGTTAGGAAGCAGTGACTTTCCCACGGATGCTTTAACTTGAAAGGTATATTTAGAAAAAATACACGAGGATCTATATAATAAGATATGAATAGTTAATTTATCACTTACTGTTATATTATATATTTTGATCATTATGTTATATGTTAGAAATGTGTATTGAAAACTTCCTCTATGATTCATCCAAAATTAACTGATATTTAGAACTTAGTAAATATAAGTATTAAAAAAAATATGGTTGTGTATAAAGGGTGTTTAATATAGATCACTTTACACAGATATATATTTTAGATTCTGCTTACAAGACGGTGTTGGGGTCAAGGAACTGGCCTTTCATCAGAAAGGTTCTGGATTCAAATCTCGGGCAAGGCATAGATGGTCTTTCATTCTCTGTACTATCTGTCCTTATTCTGGGACCAACGTATAGCCCACCTAATATGGTGCTCCTGAAAGAGTGGCTAACAAATCAGCTGTTCTGATGCCTGTGCTGACAAAAGGCCATTTCCCAGGTGGGCATGACAAAAAAAATATTTTAAATTCTTTTATTACTGACAAGGTGGCAAAGTGGTCAGCATGCCTGACTGTGAAGCCAATGGTTGCGGGTTTGGATCCCGCTAAAGGAATGGATATTTTTCTTTGTATGTTGTCCTCTGTTGTATGATGCGTGAATGTGGCACACCCTATGAACGGGTCAGTGAAAGTATGCCGTGAGTAATGTTGTTCTTTTTGGAACACAGGTGCCCACCGCGTAACGTTAAATGGCAACAGTTCCGCCATCTTCCGAGGAGAAAAAAGAAGGAGAAATTCAGTGCCTACTGTTAAAAAAAAAAAAAAAAANAAAAAAAAAAACCCTCTGATTTTAATTTAAAAAGACAAATAACTCATTTTAAAAGTACGATAGAAAAATGATATTGATTTTAAAGTGAGGACAAGTAAAAGTTCCGAACTTTGACCAATCACTTTCTAGATGTTAAAAAGTAAAAAGCAGTTTGTTTATCCAGTGGCATGGGAGCAGACGCTACTATTATGTTTCGTTTTCAAACTAGCTGGTTTTTAATTATTGTAACTTATCCTTGATTCTGTTCAGTTTTTTGGTTAAATTTCAGAGATAATTAAAAAAAATGTGCATAAAGGGTGATCGTTATGAAAGATCCTACACGTATATAAATACATGCAGATATTTGATTTTTAAAACCATCACATAAATCGGATATATCATTTTAAACTCGTAAACAATAGCCAATGAACCTTTTCTACTATTTGAATAGTAAAAAGTAAATATATACTGTTAGTAAATTATTTAACTTTATTCAAATCAAAGTTTTAATGAAAAGTATATAAAACTTTAATTGAACAATGATTGAATCTTAGGTTGAAACGTATGTATGTAAAAAATGATGAAACGTATACAAAGTGAGTTTACTTTTTTTAAAATATGCTTAAAGTATCGTAATATTTATCTGTATTTTCTTTTACAAAGAAATATCTAAGAGAACTTAAATTTTAAATCCATTTCATTTAATTAGGTTATCTTGATAAAACTTACGTTTTAAGTATTATTTTATGCATTTTTGCTGCATTATTGCAGTAAAAAAGTTAATAAATTTAAAGGAAACTAAAATATTAAACACGAGATTTAAATAAAACATCCAATTCTTAAGCATATGCATAAAATCAGCATTAACGGAAGCATTATTTTTTCTCAAAACAAATTTATCTTTATAAAATCTTTATTCTTAACAGAAAATATTTATTTACGTTAAGAGTTAAGAGTTACGTTAAATAAATAAAATAAAACTTATTACAAAAATGCATTCCTAAAATATTTGTTTCATTTGTATTTTAAGATACATTATAATTAAACTAAGGGAGTTTTAAATTCATAAGCACATCAAGTAATTCAAGTTTCGTTTGAAAGAAAAAATATTTCTTTGGATAATTTCCTGAAGTGCTTTCCAGGAAAATCTGCATTTTCAATTATGAAATCACGCCCAAACCCATTTTTTTTATTATCTACTGAGAAAATCCTTTTACTTTTATCGTAATCAACTGAGTTTCTAGAATTTAAACTAATGAGATTTTCTTAAATTTATTATTTCCTACATTAGGCTTATTTTACTTTCATATTACGCGCACCATTTTGCATTTTCTTACATTTAGTAGCGTGTGTTACACAATTGCAAAACAGAATATTGTATACTGTCTACAATAAATTTTATAAATTTATAATACTTTAATTTTATAGTAATTCTAATGTCATTTTAAGTTCAATGTAAAACTTAATAACTCCCTTTTTAAATGTTTGTTAGTCAGAACTAAATGAAATGAAAAAAAAAAAAACATTTTTCTTTTTTTTAAACTGATTATAATAACACAAAAACAAATGAATGTGTTTTGTTTAATGAAAATTTTGTTTTCGTTTGAATATAAATTAAATTTATAAGTCCGAGAGTAATTTATATATATTTTACTTTAAAACTGTAAGTTTTTAGAATATAAAATAAAAGAATTATCTTTTGCATTTCATATTATTGATTTCAAATAAAGTAAAGCTTTATTCCTATTACCTAATAACTTAGGTTAATATAACTTTAGGTTAATGTAATAATAAATTAGGTTAATGTAACTTTAGGTTAATGAAATAATAAATTAGGTTGATTAATGTAACTTTATGTTAATTTAATAATAAATTTGGTTAATGTAACTTTATTCTAATAAAAAAAGTATTATATCTCTCTTTTCAAATGTTGATTGTTTGTAGATAATGCTAAAACCATAACACTATACCAGAAACAATCTTCCCAGCACATTCTTAATTTATTATTTTAGATATATAAAACCTTGATATGATAATCATTTTTCTCTTCATGTAATTTTTTTCTTTGTTTTTTTAAAGCATGTTTTACAGTCTGGTAGTATTTTCCAAGTTTATTTACATTCATAAACTGAGTTTCTAGAATCTAAATTAAAATTTTGACATTTTGTATTATTATTATAATGTAACCTTAAGATTTTTAAGAAACCATTGCATTATTACAAGCAATGGTTTCTTTTATCCTATATTTTTCTAAGTTTTGCTCGTCAACAATATAAAAAACGAAGATTTTATTCAGAAAGGTATATAGTTTTATAAAACTGTAAAGTTTAAGCCTCGTGCGAATGATCAAATCTCTCAACATAATTTCTTCCGATGGTGATATTAAATGCAAACTGATTCTAAAACATATTCCACACTATTTAACAAATCAGTATAACTCCAAAAAATTCCCCAAGTTGTTATTTTGAATATAAAAAATATACATGGTTTTCATAGAGACATAAAAATAGACACCATACATTTCAAAGAGAGAAACTTTTATTTGTATTTAAAATGAGTGTTATGTACAACAAATATAAGTTTTAAAATGATGCATGGGTACGAAAACTAATAAAATCATGCTTTCGTTAAATAAATTCTTGAAAATATTTAGAAGAATTTTAAATTAAAACTTTAATAACACACACATGCACAATTTTTTAACGTCAAAATCATATTGCGATATACATTCTCATCAGACTTTAAAATAAAATGGTTCAAAATGTTTACGTTTCAATTGTCTCGGTGGTTGAAGAAGATGATTTTCAAATAAATATATTTAATTATTAATTTTATAATTTTAAATGGGATTTTCAATTTGCTCCTGGTAAGTTGTAAAATAAGAAATGAAATAAATCTCAAAAATGTATGCTGATTCAAAATATCATTTTGGATATCATGAAAGAATGTTAAAAATCCTCTGAGCTTTAGTTTTAGCATTTTCCGTACTTCCGTTTTTTGGTTCTCCGCAAGTAAAGCAGATTTCTCTCAAAATAAGCTTAGCTGGAAAAGATTTGCAGAACTGTTCAAAGCTACAAAAGTTGGATGGTAAAAAAAGTTTTTCTTCAAAGATGCAAATAAATACTTTTAAAAATGATAGTCAGATATTTATGTCGAAAGATAAATAAAGAAATTTTAAGAAAAGAAAAATATTTATAGTGAAGTATATTTTTAATGCCACAAAACCTGGACTAGGTAATTTGTCATAAAGTGATAATGTGTAACATATCTAATCAAACAGTTTTTAAAGTTTGTTAAACTGTTTTTAAAACTTCATTTGATAAAAAAGAAAAATAGTTCTTGTGTCACTTATGCCATCCGTTTTGATATGTGCCATAATGGCATACATCAACACAAGACACAAGCATGGAGTGCACTGCTATCCATGTTTGCCTAAAACAAGATGAACTTAATGGGTTTTTTTTCTTTTTCTATTGAAAATTAAATTAAAGTAATAGTACCTTAAGTTTTTTTTTTGTTCTACAAGTATATCACATTGATATTAAATTGAACTTACTCAAAATATTTTACAACAAATTAGCCATTCTTACCCTGATGTTGGATCGACAACGATGTCCCGTGGTTTGCCAAGACTTTCCCAAATGAGGATTGTCCTCATGGCTCCATCGAGATTGGACACTTCGATTCTGTGAGTTCCTGAGTCTGTCCAGTAAAGTTTTCGCGTTATCCAATCAATTGCTAGTCCATCTGGGCTTTCCAATGTATTTTTGATCACTACCTAGGGAATATTAACTTGTCTCATACGCTTTTTTTTAAATGCACAGTGAGATCATTTTTTTTTCGATTTTAAAAGGATTACAAAAATAACTAAGATTATCATCGTTTTTCACCTTACATATATAAATATAATGTGCCTAATAGATAATAGAAACATCTTATAAATTGACGAGATTACACTTCAAAATCCGTACAACTTGAAAGATACAACATTAGAGATACAAATACATTGTTCTATTTATTTCCGTCTTCTAAGATAAGAGATACAAAATTGAAGTACTTCATTAATGTAAAAAGCACAACGGAAATCAAAAGTACAGAAAAAGGTTTTGATCTTTGAATGGTACAAAAATAATTTTCCGCAATTTTGTACCTTTTTAGCTCCTTTATAGCAATACTTGAGGTAGAAGTACGCATTCATTCGGTTCACGCGCATTGTTTTCATTCACGTTATTTATTTTTGTCTTTTGTTTCCAAATGCTGTGTTGTTACTCCAGTACTTTTTGTTGCATAATGGATTTGGACTTAGAATGTAAATTTTCTAAGGATACCACGTGACTGCATATGGATTATGAGCAAAATATTAAAAGGGAAGTCGGAGTTGGAAAATCTTCCGACGTGGTTGGCATTAGTGTTGTTTTTCATGGCTGATATTAAAGCTACAATCATAATTATATATAAGTTCTTCAATCATATAAAACAACGCTATCTTATAACTGCCCGGGGTTCGTAACACTTATTTATATCTGCTATGTTAAATTTTGCACTATAAAATAGTCAGTGCACGATGCTGACTATGAAAATGGTGAAAAAGGTTAATACGTATATGTATAGGGACTAGGCAATATCGTTTAAATTTTAGTTATGCAGCATATCTTTTAAATTCCAGATAAAAATGTTTCATTTTTTTTGCTTCTGTCATCAGAAGTACAGTTTTTAAAGTGCAACAACTGCTTAAAAACTTAAATTAATAAGTATTGAAGAAAAAAAAAAATTTTGTGCTGGTATATTCTATCAAGAAACTGGCTTCCTTTTTAATTTGTTTCCTTAAAGTTTGGTGAATCATTGTTTAAATTAAAGATCCGTTAAACCATAAAACTGGGCTAAAATGTAGGCACTTAGATTTTTATGTCATAAGAATTTTTCTTTTATTTTATTTTTGATTTGAAAAAATATAAATGTTTAAAGAGATTTAATTGAGTTGCGAACCAATAAAAAGACTGCTAAGAAGACTATTCCAGAAAAGACAGCTCCAGACTTCTCATTTGAACCCATATCACTTGTTGCACTCCTTTAGCCCCTTTTTGGTAGCCCAGTGGTTAGAGAATCGCATTCCGATCCGGAAGGCCCAGGCCTCGATCCACGACTCCGCTAAGAACCATATAGAATATCCACGATATTCGTGCTCGTAAAATATGTGGAATCGAAAATCCTGTGGTCGGTCACTGAGTAGCCACCATGAGTCGGTTATCATGGGTACAGGAATCTGGAGAAAATTTCCTTCTCCTTAAGATCCATGTCTAAATTGAAGAAGTTGCCTCATAAATTGAGAGGGTATGTCTTCGGTTCATCCTCAGTGACTTTTTTGGTTATAGACCGTTGTCAATAGCTTATTGTGCAGCTCTAGTGCGACGCATTTACCTCCGTTAACTCTTTTTTATTGCTAAGTAATTTGCAATTTCGTGGAGATAAAAAGTAATACATGTAAAAATGGTTATTCATCAAGAATAACTCGCAATTGTTTTTTACACTACTTCTAAAAAATATATTACGCAGAACAAGCTTAAAAAAATATATATAAACTAATGCATGACATTCAGATATTTACTCTAATAAAAGTGGTAAACTTAATTTTTTTCAAAAAAAATTAAAAAAGATAGCATTAAAATTCAAAAAAAAAATGCTTTACATTTACATTCCAAACTATATGTCAAGTGAAGTTGAACTACATAACCACTATATTTATTCAGAATAATGAAAGTTTCGCAAATTAGCTGTAATCCTTTACGAATCCAAAAATTATAGTATTTTTCTAATTTCAAATAATGCTTGCATTTAACACTAAATGCATCACATTAGATTTACTATAGTAATAAACTATGAATCCATAGATGTTAATTTTTCTTTATTGAATCTGATGATTGCAATCATTTGAAGGGGAACAAAAATAATTGAACCTGTGGTTAAATAATTGTATGTACCTGTTGATGGGATCCATTGATGTTAGATCTTGAAATCGTATCGTTTGTGATGTCTGACCAGTAGATGGTTTCGGTTTCTGCATCAAAATCCAAAGCACCAGCGCTGCTGATATTACGGAAAGGAAATACGACATCAGCGTCATCCTCACAGTCTAGGCAGAGCCAGCGTACGTCTGTACGACGCGTGAAGATTAAAAATGACGACCATTCTGTAAATAAATAAAAAATGCAAAGCTTTTTATTTTATTTTATTTGAAACGAAAAATAAAATTATGAAGAACAACGAGCAGTGTCATCTATTAATTTAAGCTAAGTTACACTTTTGGTATTTATTGTATAAAGGGAATAATTGTATTTTTTTCCTAAATTAATTAAATATCTCAATCAAAATTGCAAGTTAATATTTCATATAGTTTTAAAGATGAGAAATTGAGCTACACCGTAGAGCCCCTACCTCTTTTATTGCCCTTTATTATGACTAAACTGGCCTTTATTATCACTATGTTGAAATTATCTCATGGATTTGAATTGAGATTGTACTATTAAATAAATATTCTCAAGAAAAATGAAGCTATAAGATATTATTTTAAGCAAATTATTCTTAAAATAATATCTTACATAGACTAGTATTTTGATGAGCAAATATTAGTCACCATGTTTAAACTTAAAACATGCCGACTGCTATTTCCTATTTGTTTATTTTTGAAGCGAAAGAAGTTTTTAATAACATGCTATTGTAATTTCTTACAAATACATCTTTACGTTAAATTTTTATTCATCAATTTAATTTTTAAAATGAAATTCAATTAAATTAATTTCTCAACAAGTAGTTTTTTTAATCTAGTATATTTTATTTAAGCATTATGTTGTTGAATAGTTATTGTTGATTTGTTATTGCTATTTTGCTAATAAAACTCTATGTTTGACAAGTTAGTTAAAGATGATAATAGAAAAAAACGGTTAAATTTTTCTTTAAACTTTTCGAATAATTGCATATTATTGTAAAAACTGAGCATTTTTTTATATTTTAAATAACATATTTCAATAAATGGTAATTTTATACATAGAGCAAGCTAGAACATTGTTCCTAGAATAGTATAGTGCCACTAAGAATCTTGAAATTTTCTATTCTACGGTGCTAGTGTTGCACAGAAAAAATTATTTAAAATGTAGTTATAAGGGTTGCCCAAGTGAAAAATAAATGTAATAACACCAAAAATACAGTAAAAATAGCAGCCCTTCATTCATTAAGGAAAGTAAAAGCAGTCCACCATAGTCAGCATGTAACTGATTAACCTGTGCACTTGAGAGCATTTAAAGTTATTGCAAAATCCCGCTAAGTAGTTTCGTTCAGAATTAAACAGTTTGTAATCGTATAATTTTTAAAGACAGAAAGTTCATGTACTCAAGCAAAGTGCTGCACAAATGTCTTACATCGCAATTCTCAGATTATCACTAATATTTAAAAACAACTGAGATCATGATGCTCTTTACATTAGATATTGGTATATGCCATACGCAAATTTTTTTTTAGACCATTTGTTCATATCCATCTTAGACGGTGTCGGCCATAAATTGCTATCAATTAACGATAACTGTTTGCATAACGTTCCTTTTCTCTCACTAATAAATATACTACTGAGTCTTTCCCCATTCCGAACACACTGATCTTTAGAACGACTTTACATCCACTTTGAACGTTCTCATACGAATTGCTTAATCAGTTATTCATCAGTCTGCACACCTCTGACCTAAATTTACAACCACGAAGCGTGATACTGCTATAGCAACTGCATTTCTAATGCTTTCAGAGTCCATTTATATCTGGGCGGCTCTTCTTATAGTCACTAAGTTTAGTTTACGGAAATAAGAATGATTTACATACACATATATCAACTGTATTTCTAATGCTATCAGAGTCCATTTATATCTGGGCGACTCTTCTTATAGTCAATAAGTTTAGCTTACGGAATTAAGAATCCTTTGCTACACATATTTAAAAACATGCCTCCTTTAACTTACCTTTGGAACAAGTTTTTTCATCAACTTGCACTGGTGCTTCCACAGTACACAGACAAGTATATGATACATTATTGGGCATGCATAAATGACTGCAACCACCATTGTCTTCTGCACAAGGATCTCGAACTAAAAAGAAGTTAAAACAAACCCTGTTCTAAAAATAAGTTATTTTAATACCTGTGTATTAATGGTTTCAGCTAAAAAAAAATGGGTAATTATGAGTCTTCAACAATGTACATTTTAATGAATTGTTCGACTGCATTAATTGAGTTTGGAATTAATTAAATGAGTTTTCCCGCCACTTCACTATTTTTCGCTTTTTTAAAGAAGTCACTTCACACTTATTGACTACAACTCACACTCTTCAATTTTTACTTCATAAACCTCAGACCATTGACTATTCGAAAACTTATTCCAGCTGCATCAGAATTATTTTTTTCACAGAAACAATTCTTGCTTTTTCAATACTGTTGCATTTGGCGGATTTTTCTAAAATTTTAGAGTTTTACAAAGCTACTGTTATAAAGAAACAAAACTTGGTAAATAATGTATCTTACAATATTAAAATAACTTGAAAAGAGTTTTTCGATACTATGCATACACAAATAAATAAATAAATCAAATCAATACATTTATAATGATGTTTATTTTTATTACTTTATTGATCTTCAGACAATGAGTAAATACACTTAATATATATAGTGATATTCATTTGGCATGCACTTAGATGTAAACATGCTCTATCCATTGGTATAATAGTTTTTTCTTAGCTTGCAACAGATATAGGTATGAAATATGTATGAAAGAAAAAGATTTAACATTGGAAATATACTATACTTAATTCTGGACAGTATCATAATGCGTGCTTAATTGATGTATCAATTAAGAACGTTATCAATTAAGGTGTATCAATTAAGCATGCTTAATTGACATAAATTTTTCTCATGATACAAAATCAAGAATAAAGTTAAGTAACTTTTTAATGACATACCATTTCTGAGAAAAAGATTTTTATGATAAAAACAAAGATATAAATGAAAAAATGTTTTTTTTTAAAAGGTAACTTTAATATTTGTTAGTAAAAAAACTTTTTTCAGTTAAAAGATAAACATGGGGTTTATAAAGCAATTAATTGATATCGATGAATCATCTTCGTAAAAATCGGGTTTAGTTACGATGACCTTACTTAAGCATGTAAACATTATATATATATA